TATACTAATTTTAAAAATTTATTTTAGATTAATATTAATAGTGATGTAGAGGAAGAGGAAGAAGTAATAATCAATGAAGCATCAACAAGTTCAGACATTTTTTTATGGCCAATTTATAGAGAATATTTTAAAACAATATCTCAAAATTAAGAAAACAGATCTCTGATAGTAAAATGTTTTCCATATCTATATCTACAAAAGAATACGAAAATTTCAGTTACAACTTTTGACATTGTAAAACATTTAAGGTTATAGATACTAAATAAATGTTTACAACTGCAATTTAAATTTTAAGAGAAAAAATCATACACTGTTAATGAAAAAAACAATTAATACAAAGAATAGTTGATGAATTATCAAGGTCTTCAACTGATTGCAAACAATTAACCTATGAAAGAAACAAATAATTTAATATCCGATTTTTTTCAGTAGTTAATAATAATTTCAATTTTGATAACAATCCATTCAAGCACCCTGGTAGAAAAACTTTTTAGTTTAGTTAAAAATGTCTTTACAGATAAACGAGGATGCCTTAATGACCAAAATTTTGAAAATATTTTATTACTGAAATCTAATTATTTATATCATTTAATCATATATTTTCATATATTATATTAAAATCTAAAAATCATTATTTACTTATATTTTGATAAATGTGATATCTAATCAATAAGTTTTTAGCTCATTTCATATATTTTCACAATAGAATCCTAATTTAGGTTTATGCAAAGCTTATATAAGAGCATTAAAAAATGTATTATCTAGATACATTTTAAAAATGGTATCTGTATCAAGATAACCATGAATCTGTATCTGGATCTAGATAAGTTTTTAGACGATGTATCTGTATCTCAATTTTTCACAAGGTTTCTTTAATATAAAAAAAAAAAATTTGGCAAAATATTTTATTGGATTTAATTTCATAATATCATTTTAAATGATAGTAAATGAAAAATAATTTGAAAGTTGTTTTTTGCTAAACACCTTAGAAAATGATTTATTTTGACAGCAAAACAGGTAATATTTTTTATATTTTTACTGACCATTTTAAATTTAATTAATGTTTAATTGCTTTAAATTATTGATGTTAATATTTCATTCATGAGAAAAAGTATTTTGTCAAATGAGGGAGGGCGGGGGGGGGGCGAGATTTATTTCAAACTCACTTTTTATTCCATTAAGGCGCGTACTCAGAGAGGGTGGGGCAGGAAGACAAATCTCCCCAAAGGCAAAAAATTCGGATGCCAGATAAAATATTTTTCAAAAATATCCATTTTATGACTATTAATTTATATTTTTATAAAAATCATTCCTACCTCTTATCCCGTTACTAATTTACATTTATTTATCACTTACACAGCAGAAATAAATACACTACTAATTGATTCTATGAATTAATATCGATTTCATATTTTTCTTGGCGTCTTATTTTATCATTTTGAAATTTCCCAACCAAATCATTTGAAACTTTTTCCCTGAAAAACTAAAGCAAGATCTTTCAAAAAATCCCTTGAAAACTGACTCTTGACTAAATTTATCCCAAGCCTGGATTAACCGGAGTCAACTCAGGTTTGGAATCTCGCCACACTTGCTATTTAAAAAAAGGATATAAAAAAATATATTAATCATTGTAAATTACTAAGAGGCTAATAATTAATCTTTTGATGTCTCAAACCATAACCTTAGCAAATAATTACAATGCCCAAATTTTTGTAATCCGGGAAGGAGTGTTATGACTTACACCATTGAGATTGGGGGGGGGGGTATGTAGTTAGGAAGTTTTTGTAGTAATTCGAATAAAATAATTGAAGTGAGGGAGGAAGGTAGTTGATTTGGTGCTAATTATGATTTGTTGATAGGGGGAAGCAGGCGTGTAACCAACGGGGAAAAAAATCCCCCCTCCCATCGCAAGCCTGTTTTCATAAATATCCTTTTACTAATAAAAAATCTCCCCCCCCCCTATCGCACTCTCCCCCATAAATTTATACAATGTACATTAAAAAAAGAATTTGAAAGAAAAATTTAGTAAAGGTTAATAAATTTTTAACTAATGACCTTAATTCAAAATTTAAAGAATACCATTTTTATTAACTCAAAATTATTTTATTAAAATCTAACAAAGCCAAAGGTGTAGAGTAGACCTAAAGACCCATGGCGGACACCCCCACCTCCCTTCCTAGAAAAATCTTGGATACGCCTGTGAGGGGAAGGGTAAGTACTAGGGGGATACCATTTTCTAAGGGGGTAAGATCGGTATTGGCTTATAGAGGGTGTTGAAGTTCTTAAATGCAATTATGATTAATTATATAGCAAAAGATTTAAAACAAAACAATATTAAAAGTAGGAATACCATGAAATACATAGCATTTTATTTCAATAGGAAAGATTCCATTTTAATAGTAAAAAAAACTTGTAAAAACAATTTAAGAAACATTTTGATTAATATATAATATAATTTGTCATGTTATCTCCTTTTAATCGCAAAAGGAAATTAATGTAATTTGAAATACTAATGTATATTTTATATACAATATGAAATACACTATCATTTCTTTACCGCACCAATTTTTTTTCATTGGCAGAACTTTGCCATGAAAAAACCATGGTGCGACAAGAGAAGAGCAGATATAAGTGACATAGGTTCATTTATTGAAATTATCTTTGCTGAATGAATAAATAAAATATTTAATTGGGTTAAAAATTTCTTTCATTCTTTTGCCATCTATATATCTCTTCTTCTTTATCATGCATATTGTCCCACAGTTGTGGGGTTTGTTTTGATAAGTTTCTTCCATCTTGATCGAGTAAGGGCCATGTCCGGATTTATCTTCTGACCTTTCCACGTAACACGAGGTCGTCCTCTTCCTCTCTTTTCCGGCACCTCCATGTCCAATACTTTTCGATTTACATAATTAGTCTCCCTTCTTAGTATATGACCATATCACCTTAAATTTTCGTTTATCAAGTCCACCATAGGTTGAATACCCATTTTTGCTCTGAGACAGTCATTCGTCATATGGTCGAGTTTAGTATACCCCAAGCTCCACCGTATCATTCTCATCTCCGTGGCTTGTAATAACTTTTCTTCCGTAGTGTTTAATGCCCATGTTTCACTTCCATAGAGTAACACCGGTCTTACGATGGATTTTTATCTATTTTTACAAATCAAATCGATTATCATCTTGAATTTTCAGAATGATATAATAAGTGAATAAATTGAATTACCAAATCCTACTCATTTTTTAACAAATTAAACGATCAATAATTGATGTATTTTATTTCGATTTATTATTTCTTTATTCTGGAAAAGAATAATCAATTAATATATATATTTTTTATAGCCAAATATTTTTTGTTTTCTTTTCTTCCTTTCTTAAATTTTTTTTCTATGATTTGAATTAACTAATGGCACTTTTGGCTAATACTATTTTTTTTTAGGCATAATACTTTTATATTGATAAATTAAACGTTGTTTTATTACTTAAAAATTGATAAAAACCTCCTCCTCCTTAATTTTATTCTTCTATAAAATCATATTTAAAATTTCTTCTTTTTTTTTTAAAAAAAACTTACGCGAAAATATCCTTAAAAAATTTAAGAATACGCTATTATTATAAGCATATTTCATTTTTTAAATATAATTTCCACATTTAAATTTTTTTTACTATGCGCTATAATTCGTATGAAATCATAAAATAAAGGTTATCTTTTCTGTTTCCAAGTGTAGAGGCGCGCCTAGTGTTAGTATTATTTTACTTAACAATCGTTAAACCTTAGTGCATGAGAGTAAAAAAATAACCTATTAAACCTCTATTTATTGAATTATTGCTATATTGCACTGGTGTCGTCTTTAAATTTATATAAAATGGAGGCCGTGCCTACCCTTTGAATCAATTGGTGATATGCATTAACTCTAACATATGGCTGTACAATGTCACAACTTAGCCTAAACCATAGAGAACTCTCAGTTGTTCGTCTGATAAGAGATTACCAAGGTTATGACTAGAGAGTGATTCTAACCATTCACGACGACCAAGGCTGGCTGATTGAAGGGGATGAATGCAATAAAATAAATATTTTAAAAAACTACAGGAATATCGAAAATATCTGATCAGAATTTTGGAAATGAGGTTTGAGGGCGAAGCCTTAAAAAATAATCCCACCCCCTCCTAAATTTTAGATATGCCACTTTCGGGATGAAAAATTTGAAAAATTATAATTTAGCACATTTCCTTGTTTTAGTAGCTGTAGCTAATAGCGCGGAAATATAGATTAGATAAGGAGTATAATATTAATATAATTTAGATGGTGAAGAATATATAAAATAAACAAAATCAGGAAAACAACAACAATGATAGTGATTGTATTAAACGCGATATTATAAATAAATAAATAAGCGGGGGGGGGGGGGGGGTAGGGTTTTGGTCCAAAAGTATAAAGCTAATTTACAATTTTTAATAAAGAAAAGATTCCTTGTCTCATTTGCTAGGATTTAACTATACACATAATATGGAGCTATGATTATGTATTTTTCAAAAAAAAATTAGGCGTGTATATGTCTTTCCCAAAATAGTTTTTCCGTATGGGGCCATATGGAGAATGAAAAGACAAAAAAAAGGGAATTGTGCATTTGCCTACTTGCTCAAATTAAGCAAGTTTTCCGAAAATCCTAGGACTTCATGTTCATAAACAGGTATAATGAAAATGGAAGATATCGAATTACTTTAGCGTCTTAGCTTTAGTTTTCAAGACTTGTTATATTCATTATAATTATATATTTTGTAATTCAATCGTTTTTAAAAATATATTTTCATTTTTTTTCTGATTGTATTTTATAATACACATCAAATATTTTATTTTAAATTATTTTTACATTTCATTTTTTTATTTTAAATTTCTTCTTTTATTCAATAATAATTTATATAAATTCTTTTTTTTATATAATTCATTTATTTTTTTTAAACTAAAAATATATAATATTATTATTTTATTTTATTCATAATTTGTTCCATCTATCTTGGCTAAATATAATTTCAAATTTCCTATAAAAATTTCTAAAAAAAAAATATAAGAATATATTCGCTATTCGTTAGAAAGAAAAAAACAAAATTAATATCGCTTTCTCTATTTATATAGTATTAAAGGATTCTTCGACCTGTATTCAGGTAGTAGTTTTTTTAAATTATTGATTTATTCTATTTTAATTTACATTCTAAAAATTAATAAAAAGTGCCTTTAATCCCCTTCCTCTATTAGCATACCCGAGTAGGTAATAGGGGGGGGGGGGAGTTGCCAGTTTTCGTAAATATATTTTAAGCCAAAATAAAATGAAGTACGCCCCCCCCCCCATTCCCTACTTCTCTCTCTTTCTTTTCCTAAAAAGAATGAGTACAATACGTCATTATAAACAATATTTTTTTTAAAAAAAATAGGTAATCTGGCTAAAGGCCTTACGGAATCGAATATACTTAATTTATTCGGAATTTTAACCAATAAGAATATTATATTTTTACTATTCGTTACGAATGTCCGAATAAATTCGTTATTCGATTCGCATTCATTTTCGAATAAACCTGGGCGGAGAAGTTATTGCTTTGTATTTCTTTTATTTAAAAAAAAATAAATCCCAAATCATTTTTTTGTTTTGGATATTTATAGAATAATCGATAATGGAAAACTATTATCGTTAAGTTTTAGTTTCGAACTTTTTTGTTTTGTTTTGTTTTGTTTTACTTTAAAATAAAATGTGATTCTCTTTTGGAAGTGATTTTGCTTCTATTATTTTTTTTTATTTGTTCATTTGATAAGTTTCTTATTGAATATTCTACAAAATTATAATGATAAATTATATAAAAGGTGAATTCCACATAAATCAACATTAAATACGACCCCCAGAATTCAAATTTTGTATATTGGCACACTATAACTACGAGAGAAAAAAAAATGAAATTTTACTTCCTAACTTCGCTTACTAACTAAGATGTGGGGGATTTAAAGAGCGGAAAAATGGTATTTTTTTTTACAAAGCACTTGATTTATTTCCAAATATATCAAGAAAAGATTTAAGTTAAAGTAATAATTTAAATTTTACGATAAACTTAAGAAATACAAATAATCCCTACAAAAAAAACGAATTGAATCGAATAATACTACTATTCCTAATTATGCTATTCGTAATCGTATGATACGAATAATTCTTTATTCGTATTCATACGTATAATAAAATCATTATCCGGTCCATCATTATCCGGTTCGTCGAATTTTGATTCGATTCGAAAATTTTTCTAAAGCTTTAAAAAATAAATTATATTTTGCAAAAAAAAATTATAAACATATGTGTATGTTTTAAAATGACACTTTTATAGATTCTACTTACTAATTGTCATTAGCATTCAAAATTTACAGAAAATAACAGAAGAAATAAAACCCAATGATTTCATAACGTTATCCTAATAATTGGCAAAAAACACCCGATTTTTAGAATCAGAATTGATTATAAAAATATCGAAATTCTTTTCTATACGTTATTTCTTCGATCTAATATTCTCAAATTTTATTATAATTTTCTAAAAATGCACAGCACAATGATCTAATTTAAAAAAATTATAATACAGAAAAGATATGATTTACTAGATCCGAATTTAAACAATAACCAGTTTTTCAAGCATAAGGTCTTTCTAATGGTTTCTTCCTTCAAAAGCATTCTATTATTCATTGCCATATTTTTCTCTACTGAGAATTACCTCTCACATGAAGCCGAAGATCCATAAATAGACAATATATCAGTTGCTATTTTGAAAACAGGGGAAAATGATCTAAATGCATTCTCGACCAATCTAATGGGTTCTTACTAGAAATTATAATATATTCATTAAGATATGTTTCATTTCAATCTCACATATTGATGAAATGATATTTTATTTGAATATTTTATCCATGTTTGACTGGACTATTGTTTAATTAGATGATGTATTAATATTATATTTAACATTGCATTTGGGCCATATTTTAATTTTTTAGGGGCCGAGCCTAAAAAATATTTTTTATAAAATATCCGGGCCAGGCCCTATATTTTAAAGCCGAATATTTTAAATCGCCATTATTACCTATAAAAATTAAAAATAAATATATTTTATTAGAAATCCAGGCTGGGGCTGTGCAAATGGTGTCATCTTGAGGTCTTTGATATATATATACTTTTAAAATTTATGTAAAATTCTCTGAAACTATTGACTTAGGATGCGAAATTCATTATTTTACCTCTTTAAAATATTGCACCGACCGAGGTGTAGTCAGAGCTTTGAACCTGAGAGTTTTGATTCAATGCCGTAAAAGGAGATCCTATTTTACCAAAATTTTAAAATTAAACTTTGGTTCATTAATTTTGACAAATTTTCGAGGGTTTTAGTTCCGATCCCAGACTCTGTTAAAGCCCTTTAAAAAACAACATTTCGGGTTCGAATTTAATAAAAAAAATCCTGAATCCGGTTCGGGTTAAGAGTTCGCAGTCCAGAGTTTATAAAATTTAGTTAAAAAGCAAAACACCAGTTTTCTTTAAAAAATTTATTTTATTATATATAGTATCCACCATAAAATAAATTTATCATCATAATTGGAATAACTTAATTTAATCCACGTCATATTTAATATATTATTGATTTAAGAATTTCTTCAATTTTTTTAATGTTGGATTGTAATTGTTTTTATTTAATTAAATTTAAAATGATACATTTTAAAAAATCATGGCATTGCTTAAAAATCTTAGCTTAGTGTTGTTAAACGGATCGATTCGAGCCGATCATTAAAAGTGGCTAACTCAATATTTTAGCCGGAACAGTAAAAATATAGCATAAGACTCGAGATTTTGACAAAAAAATGTTCAAGCCTTTGTGTCATCTGTGAACAAGAGAAAATATTGAGTTTGCCCTTTTTAAAAATCGGTTCAAATAGAGCCGTTTAACAACACTATTAGCTATACCAATTTACTTTTATGATATTTAAATTTATAACCAGACTAAATTTGCAAGTGATAATAGAATATTGTTTTATTTTAATATATAATTTTTGTAACTATTCTAGGAACATTTATTTGATATTAAATTTATATACTTTATAGGACATTTGGCCATTTATATAATATTTGTTGTTTATATGCTATATAATATTTTAATTTGTTTAATTTGGATTCCCTACAATTTTTGAATAATGGGGAAGAAAAAGACTATACTTGTATTTATTTAAATTTAAAAAATGATAGATACATTAATCATTTTTTTTATCTCAAAAATTTCTATTTATAGTATTTAAAAAAAAATAAAGAGGGAAGACACGGGGAGTGTTGGGGGAAGGTCTTTATTTGTTTAAGATGATATTTCCGAAAACGGATAAATTAGCGGAGGAGCTCATTGGTTACATCCCGATTAATTACTTATAATAATTCTAAAATTATTTAATTTGTTATTATGGGAGATCTGGGCACATCGGACAAGATTTTGTAAAAAAGAGTCTTGATATGAAGCTGGCTAACTTCCTACCTATTTATGGGGAGTAGGAGCAGTTTGCATCCAATTTTTTTTAAGGAGGAGCGCGTGAATATTGAGAGTAATGAAGAATCAATTAGTTGAAAAGAATGTATTTTGCGAAAATTTAGGATATACACTATAATGCTCATCCCTTAATTGCTATAGTAATTTTATAATATTTATACTGGGAGGATATCTAATCTAAATAATAAATGATCGAATATAAATATAAGTATATTTATAATTAAAACCCTTACTTTAATTTAGTACAATTTAATGTCTGAGATGATTTTTATTTGTATTATAACTTAATTCAGGTTCTTTTCTTTGTATAAGTTCAAACCGTTTTGGAATTACTTAATGGTCCTAGATGCCTTTGTCTGTTGTGCCTGCCACTACCTTGACAAAATTATGAAACTATAAAATAACCAAAAGTTATTCTTATAATAAAAAACTCAAAAATAATGAAAAATCCCTACTTCAATCTTAAAATAAAGTCATATTTTGTTTATTATTAAATATTATCATCCTATTAAGTAGACCGCTCCCACTTTTCCCCAATTCTCTCACAATCTAATTTCTATCAATAAAACTCAAAAGTTGGATGGAGATTAAATTCAGCTAGACAAGTAGATATTCTCAAGACCCTAACCAAATTACTAAACATACAATAAACATACACCTAGATGACATCTTCTGATGATGATGATAAGTTTGAAATAAGGCGCATAAAGGTGGAGGAGGTAAATGCGATGCCGGAATGGATTTACAAGGAAGTCGGTTGGACTGCCAATGATTCCAAATTCCTCAAACTGTGTTATGATCTAGATCCTCAAGGCTGGTTTGTGGCTGTCACCCCTAGAGAAGGCATTATTGGTATATATAGTATATATCCTATATAGTGTAAAAAACAAGTCTAACTAGGAGTAAGTTATTTAATTTCAGTGATTTTCTTTCTTTTACGAAAATTAAAACGAATTTGATATTACTCCGGCTAATTCAAGCGATTCCTTTTGGATGCTTTAGCAGCCCTATCTCATCAGTTTAGGTTCGCTGAGGTCGCGTTTAATACCAGATTCGTTTTTAGGACGAGAGAAAAATGGGCTGACCGTATGATGGACCCTGATCTTAAGGTTGACACAGTCATAACTATATTAATTTTAAAAAAAAATTCTATTAATTTTTAAGCTTCAATTTTTTTAAGATAATGGATGAATGATCTAAAGTTTTTATAAGATATAACCAAAATTAATTTCACTACTTTTTTTTAACTTTAATTAAAAGAAATTACTTATCTACAAAAATATGATAATTAAAAAGAAGTAAAATATAAATTTTTTGTAATCCCCGAGGGAATTATATATTTTTTTTCAAAATTAATAAAATTTTTAAGTACATAATAAAAAAAATTAAGCAAAATATCTGCCAATTATTTAACAACGGTCCCTTTTAAAAAAAAATATATAAATAAATTAAACATATCATAATATTATATTTTATATTTAAAATAAATTGGCTATAAAATGACAAAAAAACATTTTATTTTTTGACCTTGTCCTTAATGAATATGAAAAAATATATAAAATTAAATAAATTTAACTTTATCGATATATAAATTAAAGGTCTTACATAGTTAATTTAAATCTTTCTTTATTCCTTTCTTTCCTTTCTTTCTTTCTTTCTTTCTTTCTTTCTTTCTTTCTTTCTTTCTTTCTTTCTTTCTTTCTTTCTTTCTTTCTTTCTTTCTTTCTTTCTTTCTTTCTTTCTTTATTCCTTTCTTTCCTTTCTTTCTTTCTTTCTTTCTTTCTTTCTTTCTTTCTTTCTTTCTTTCTTTCTTTCTTTCTTTCTTTCTTTCTTTCTTTCTTTCTTTCTTTCTTTCTTTCTTTCTTTCTTTCTTTCTTTCTTTCTTTCTTTCTTTCTTTCTTTCTTTCTTTCTTTCTTTCTTTCTTTCTTTCTTTCTTTCTTTCTTTCTTTCTTTCTTTCTTTCTTTCTTTCTTTCTTTCTTTCTTTCTTTCTTTCTTTCTTTCTTTCTTTCTTTCTTTTCTTTATAATTCAAATGTGATTAAACATGGAATGAATATTTAGAATTAATTTTTTTGCTAACTTGGAGGAAGGAGAAATTTTTTTACAATAATATTGTTAGATCAGTGAGGACTTATGTATATTAGAAAAGGTTAGCCTATTAATAAACCTTTGTTAAGTTTTGCTTTCAGAGTTTGCTCTCATAACTCAATCGATAGGGTGTTATGTCTAGGATAACGAGAATATCGTTGTAAAAACAAAATCAGAGCCATGTGTGGCATAAAATACAGCCAATTCATAAATGTTTAAAAAGAAATGAATTGCCTGAAAAATTTATAAATTTTTTAAATAAATATCCAAAATAGCTTTATAACAATAATTATTGCTGTTTCCTTTCCTCTTCATCACTATATATATATTTAAAAACATACATTCAAGGAAACGTATTGAGTGTCAACTTAAGCGATCAATATTCCTTCGCTGGTTTGTACATAGTCTCCAAGAACCATAGGTCCAAAGGAATAGGCAAGAAACTATGGAACACCATGTTAGGCCATGTGGCTCATAGATGTTTAGGTATCAATTCCGTCAAAGGAAGAGTTTTCTCCAACCTTAAAATGGGAATGACATCACCTTTATTCAAAAGTATGTAATATAAATCTAACAATATCTCCTCTTTCAGATCCATACCTTCACTTTAAGCTTATTGTATGCTTTATTTTAATGGGTTTATTAATTGTTCAAATATTTTTTGCATTGCTTTTTAACAAAGTTTAAAATTTAAACTAGAGCCCCTCTCTAAAATGTTTATGACCCGGAATTAGAACCACCATTTTTAAATGTCAGATCCGGAGCCAGAACCATTTTTTATTCCAGGTCGTAAAACTCTGGTTGGAACATTGCATATATAAATAAGTATAAATTAACCTGTAATCGAATAAAATGGCGGAACAAAACAAAAATGAATTATGTTATTCTTCACCGTTAAAGTTTCCACATTCAACGGTTCCTTAAAACGCAACGATCCTATGCTTCATAAGTTCTTTAAAAGCCCGGGTAACGATAAACTCATCGACGATCTCACCCTTCTACCTGCAATAAATGGAACGACATGTAATCTTAATCAGTGCAATTCTAAAGGTTATAGACACGATCGTGAATGCAATATAATTGACTCCAAAAAGCCTCAGAGTTATCGAACGATACAAACGGACCTCGATAATAATTACCTGATAGACGATGAGATAGATATAAAGGAAACCACGAGAGCTGGTGGTATTGACAGTACCCAACCGACTCCCCTGGATGATAAACGATTTTTAAAAGATTCCTTCTACAATAGCCTGAATACTAGGAGTGGAGATTTAGCTAGATATAACCATGAAGTGAAATTACCAAGTAAAGCTGGTAATATAAATGTGGTATTTATGGATGGTGTAGATATCAATTTAGCAAATTTACGCGATTACGACACGGCCATTCACGGAGGTCTATCCAGGGAAAAATTATTAAAGACTTTTATACAGTTATCTGCAGAGGTTTGAGTTATAAAGAAAAATTTACTTAGTTGTATTTTGTGATTATAAATAAAATTTGTTTGCTATACCATTTCTATTACTTTTTTTAAAAAAAAATAATTTATTAAGAATGAAATGACATATAAAGTAAGATGTATAGTAGCTATCAAACGCTGCTCCGAAATGGAGATATGTGGATATGGAATTATACGACCTAGAGGAATTTCTTCTACCACTCTAAATAACGAGACCTTTACTTCCCTTAGCACTAAGAATTCAACACATATATCTTCGGAACATTACATGATAATAGGTCCGCTCTACGCTGATTGTCCAGAAATCGCTCGTACATTACTAAAGGCTCTATTAGATTCCATCCCTGCTGAGTGGGAAATTAATGTCGAGTTAACTATTCCTTTGAAGGTGGAACCTGGAGCCATGGATTTGAACAATCTTGACCCAAATTTTTTATACATGGCTGCTAAAAAAGAATTGGGACTTATCAAAGAAGAAGACTGTTACAGAATGTACCAGAATAACATTCTGGAAACACTAAATGGGTTACAAGAAAATGTCAAGGAAGACAAACAGATTGGAAGTAATATTGAGGAAAATCATGTTGACGAAAAACAAAACTGCATTCCTATTCCTCATATTCTAACGGAAAAAATTTATTCTTTCGTGAGTTCAGATATGTTTCTAGATTAAACTAAATTATATATATCTCTAATATTAAAAAATAAAAGTTTTAATGATAAAAAAACGATCTATATTCAATATGGAAAACATTTATAATATATTGTACATCATTATAGCTGTTCTGCTTAATATAAAATATTAAATTTGTGATAAAATATTTACTACATTATACACTTTTTAATGGCAATTTAGAATTATTTTTTTGTACCAAGTAATATTTATTTTTAAATTAGCTCAATATTTATAAATATTGACCCTGAGTATTTCAAATATTATTATTGTAATTTATTTTTAATAGCCATTTTACTTTCTTTTTTTTAGAAAACCTCACGAAAAAGCAACAACGATTTTTTATTCTGTATCGATATTTATTTTATGATATTTTAAATTTATAAATTTGTAACTATAGAAATTTTTTTAAACATTCTATCTTAACACCTTTAGTCATATTAAATAAAAATTTGGTGGTTCAGTTTTAAAAATTTATAGTATATTTATTGTTATAAATTATTTACAAAAAACGACATTTTATTTATATATTATGTTATATTTATTATATATTTTTGTAATAAATTTTATCTTTTACTTTAAAAAAAATTTCAAATATTTATCTTTTCTTAATTTTACACCGAAAAATATTAATATATCAATGGTTTTGTCAGCCATAGCACTTTAGACCCCACCCCTTTATGAAGCTAAGCTATTCTAAAGTTTAATTATATGGATACTGACATCAAAAAATATTAATGTTTTTATTAATTATTTTTTGTTTTTCATAAAAAAAATTTTTACTGACTAAGAGGATACCTCAGGTACCATTATATTTAATTGCGCAACTGAGTCGTATACTTCCACCTTGGTAAAAACAAGGTTTCTAGGTTTAAATTTTCTTTATGCTTTTTTTTAAAACTTATAAGAAGGCATCAGATTCTTCCCCTATCTTTTCTTATATTCTATGTTATATGTTTCATTGGATTCTAAATTATCCTGTTATTCTACTATTATAAAAGATAGAAGATAAAATCATCTTTATATTTTTGACAAAATGGCAAATCTATTATATTTATTAACATAATCAAATTTTTAATCTTATCAATTGAACATTACTTTTATTTTAAGTTTTATTAAATTCTAGATCATCCTGATATTTTATGAAATATAAGAGATACTAGCATAAAAAAATATTTAAATAAACCTTGTATCATCAAATTCTATCATTTTAGGATCTTCATTATATAAGTTCTATTTACATGATAATTTAACTTCTAATAATAAAAGAAAAACTTATTATTCAAAGGCTAAAAGTGGGGCTATTATCTGACTATTAACGAATCGCTTTATAAAATAAGTGTCTGGTAAAAAAAAATAGCACAAAGTTAAAAAATAATTAATAAAATATATATTAATTTATGAGAATTATTGTAGAAAATAAGAGCTTAAATAATTAAAAAAAACTCAAATATATAAAATTTAGACTAATTACACAAAAATATTCTTAAAATTTTTTATATAAACCTGTAAGGTGTATGGTTACGAAAAGAAATATACAATCCCCTTTTTGATTGAGTTAATTCTATGATTTCGAATTTGATGTTAAATTCTTATGTATATATTTAGCAGGTAATCCATTTATTTATATTTTGGTGTATCACTTCCAATATAAGTTTAATTCATCTTAAAGAAGGAAATATCATTTATTTTGTGCAAGTGCTAATGGAAATCATGGTCAAAATATGTATAAGGACTGCTTAATGAATCAAGAACCTCTCATTTATTTTGCTTAAATAAAACCTAGATGTTTAGACCTCTTTGGTACAATATCAAGGTTTATTAAATATAAATCGGGTTTTAAATAATACTTAAAAAGGGGGGAATAAAGATATTAATTGTAAAATATTATTCTATTAATCCAACAAATATTCGAACTCTCGATTTGTCTTAGTGCGCATCAAGTTATGCGAATATCAAATTATTTTTACAATCACCATTTTTTAAAGGTATTTTCTATTTTTAAAAAAATCTTACCCTCCCCCTTTAATAATGCTATTACTATATACCTTACGTCATATTGCGGGGGTAAAAAAATAGTGAACCAGTTGGTAAAAATTTTGATAGCACATCATAAAATTAAGAATTGATTGTTGGTATATACCTTTTAGAATAAAAGTTATCCGGGCCCAGTCGTTTGGAACCCGTCAGCGGAAATATTTGAAATAATCTTCAGCCCAGACCGTAATCTTATATTAATTTACTTGATTGTATGCTTTATAAAATTTGCGATCAGGCCTTGTTCGCAGATATTATGCATAAATTAGCCTGCCTGAGTATCATTTTCGCCTCCACATAATATCAACATAATTTCTCTTATTAAAATCTATGACTCTTGATATTTTTTCACACTTATTTGGTTTATAAATGACATGTCACTGGGAAAAAGACTTATTGCAATTTTTTTTAAATAAAATGCTGCAGGTTATTTAAAGAACTATATGGTGACTTGGCATTGTTTAAATTAACAATCTAGTGATACATGTATGGTGTAATATATTCTTAGTATAAAAGTTTTCCAAGACAATGGGTCAGAGAACTTTTTTTCGTACATACTAGTGGTTTTATACAAAATTCATACTATGCATGGTGGATAAGTGTGACAATGCATATTCATATATGAACTTCAACATTTTTAAGCCAATGAGAATATTTTACCCTACCCGTTTCCAATCCATATCAAAATTAGCATAAAATGAAAATCAATTGCCCTCCCAATTCATTTTTAATAACGATCATAGAGTTCTGCATATGACTAGCTTACACTATAAGTTGATTAAATTTATTTTGTGAAATTTAATTTTACTTTAGCAAATAAATTATAAACATAATCCGATCTCATACCAGACTATATTGTTTTATTTAAAAAAAGTCTATTCAAATCAACTAATATAATCTAGGGGTCGCAGACACTAGTTTATATATCCATCTCGCACTTTTAACGATGCCGATCAATGCATAAAATATAAATATCAATAATAAAAAAATATTTTTTAACCATCATACACTTCGACTAACACGATACCATATGAGCCCTTAGTGTGGACCCTAAAGTTAGGTAAAAATGTTTGATTTTACAGAAAGTGGACTACACTTAGGATATGATCAAATATACTATTTATAAAAAAAATATATTGTACATTAATAATCTACAAAAATTAGTGTATTGTTAAAACGAATTTTGTTCGATTTTTAAAAATGGGCCGATTAATTAGGCCAAAATATTATTATGAAAACCTCTAGATTTTATAGATGTCTAAACCTTTTTGTCATCTATAAGCCAAATCTCCAGAATTACATAATATTATTTTGTTTCTTATCTTAATCTAGCCGTTTTTAAAAATCAATTTCTGAATATCATTTCAACAAGAAAATAAATTATATTAATTCAAATATATTTTGATTTAACAAAAAGAGTTAATATATACATTTTCTACTATGTTAACGTATAGCCGCAAAACAATATACAAAAAGGTAAATATACAATATTACTATAAAATACTTAGCTTATAGCTGTAGAAAAATAAGGTGAAAAGTTTTGACATTTGAGTTGCTGAATTTCGATCCTCACAACTTTGGGTCACTTGTCTATTCATGGCAGGCGGGTAGCTTGTGAAGCCCTTGGCTTTGAATGGTTAAACTTTGACACGGGGTTAACAGTGTGCTTCTTTGCCAAACCTTTAGCTACAGATTAATGAGGTCAGATTTTTAAATTTTAGATGCCTAACTCCGATCCTCGCAATTTTGGGTTATTTGTTTATACATATCAGGCTCCGGTACCTGTTATGTCGCATATAGTGAAGCACTTTGAGTCGGTAAATTTTGAGGTGTCTTACCCTGTAAAACTGAGATTTGAACAATATGTGTCTAGTTTTTTTGTGACTTCCGATACATTGGTTTGAGTTGCATGTCTCGTTATAACTGTGTGAGTTTTGTATCATACACTTTCTATTCTATAGTTTAACCCTTAAGTTGTATGTTTGCTAATTTGCTATAAATATTTGTTGCTTCTCTAAATATTTTAGGATTTTATGTTTACGGTTGTTACTTTGTTCGTCATTATTTTGCTATAATTCTAGCATTTAATGTTTCAAGATTTGTTGCTTGCGTTGTGTGTTATCTTGTTGTTCGTTATTTCGCTATACTTCTAGTTATAGATGTTAAAAATAATATTTATAAACTAAAATATTAATATAAATAGATCTAAATAATATTAAAATAATAATTATAATAAATTTAAATAAAATTATAATAAATTTAAATAAAATTATAATAAATTTAAATAAAATTATAATAAATTTAAATAATAATAATAAAATAAAAATAGTAAAATAAAAATATAAAAATAAAAATATAATATAACATAAAATTAATTTAAATAAATTATAATATTAATTATAATATTCGAATGACCTTCTATAAAATATCGCGATTTCTACATCTCATTTTATATAATAACATTCAAATTTATATTCGAAAATATTATTATATATCGAGAAAATTTTATATATACATTTAAGGTTTCGAGTAATATCATCATGTGTTTATTTTTTGTGTTATTTAGAATTTTGCTATCATATGCTTCATTATACTGTTTGGCTTTTAATTGTTTGACAATATATTTTTTAGGCTAGTATTAGACTTAAATTTCTCAGTAATAATGGTAGGTTTTAGCGTTTAAAATTTTTTACTTCGATCCTAGAAACTTTAGCATTTTTCTCAGTTATTTTTAATTATAATGAAATAAAACTTTAAATTAAACCCGTATCTGATTTCCTAAATTTTAAGCAATTATCATCAGATATATAAAAAAACAATTGGTAATCTTCTTGCTTAATTCAAGCATAGGTAATCATTTTTTTATATTTTTAACACATGGAATAAAAGGAGACCTGTTTTATTCATTTGAAAATTTGGAATTTGTATTATATAGAACTTTATCTCCTATTTCATAAAAAAAAATCTTCATGATAGAATACTTTAATCTACATATTTTTATATCTTAGAAACGGTTGATGTTTTCAGTCAACATCAAGAGAATGGAAAAAATGATCTGAAATGTTAAGCCTGAGTGATATAAAAAATATTTTACAAGTAACATCAAAACAAGCTAATCCCAAACATTGTTGCAGACATAATTGTTTTTATAATAACATTAATTACCCCGTTATTTGTAAATAATCATTATATTAATCTTTTAACTTGTAAAAATAATTGATGCTGATTTCTAGACCTATTTAATATGAATTTTATTTATTATATTCAAGTTTTGATTTATACTTTTTTGTACTATGACTAATAAAAATTGAAAATAAATTATTGATTATTCCATTGGTTTATTGTTGGTTTTCATATCAATTTAGTGTGTATATTAATACCTCCAATCTCAATCTAAGATTCTTGATTTTTAAAAAAAACCTCATAGATTATCTTCACAAGAATCTTCATTCAGATCCTCATCAATTTTTTTTTATCTTAATCATAATTTAATCGGAATTTATATTTTTACCTTTATGTTTATTTAGACTCGAGGTACATCGAGGTTAAATTTACACTTACAAAGTTTAGACTTTGTACCCTTAATTTTCTTTATTTATGTAAAAAAATTTTTGATATTTAAGTCAGAGCATTATCTAAAGAAATAAGTACCATTGACATATATTTTTTATAAAATAAATTATAATATTACAGAATATAAATTAACATACCTTGATTGATTCAAAATCAGGTAGTTTAACAATTTGTACAATTCAACAACAATGCAATAAATTAAATAAAATTGAAGAACTTTAATGGTTGATCAAAATTAAAACTCGGCTTAAAATATTTATAAAACTTTAAAAAAATACAATATATTATAAAAATAACTTCTTTTTTTAAATATTTTTTAGGAAAAAATACTAGACCGGGACCCGGATTAATAAAACTGAGGCGGGTTGGGTACAATTAGGCCGGACCGAGCGAAAACTAAATCCTAACCTGACTCGGTCTGAAAATTTTGTCATTTGCAAACTTCAAGTAGTATATACATAAATTGTTATTTTTTCTAGCTTAAATGAAGGCTACATTTAAATATGTAAAATAATATCGTAGTTAATTAATTTTTTTTGGCTTATATAAAGGTTATACATTTTAAATATGTATAAGTATAATTAATATAGAAAATTTTTATTTTTAAAAAAAAAATTTTTTCCTAACCACAAATTTTGCATTATTTTATTCTAGTTAAATATCAATGAAAACAGATTTACAGTATATACATAATTTTTTTAAATTCTATAATTAATATTAGTTTTGAATTTTATATAATAATATTCTAAACATTTCATTTTTATGAAATTTTTAAAAAAGATATAAAAAAATATTTTACATTTATTCTTATAATTTTATTTTCTACTTCAAGAATATCTGAAGAATTTTAAAATATCACAACGGTTATAGATTAAGTAATATTAAAGGGCTCAATTTTCAAAAACGGCTAACCCAATATTTGAGCCAAAAAATGTTATGCACGCCTCGAAATTTTTTAATAGATATCCAAACCTTTTTCCCCCTTATGAGCAAAATCTCTAGTGTTAGCCGTTTTTAGAGTTTTTTTTGACTCATAACTCGATCCGGAATTGCTAAAAATGACTTCGACTCGAGCGACTCAATGAGCCAATTAATGAGCCGACTTCCGAGCCATTTTAAACAAGATTTGTAATATCTTATATAAAAATCATGACATTTTTAAAAGATCGTGATTATCTTAATGGTCAAACATGTTGTCAACATAGTATGAAAAATGATAGGTTGTCGAAATTAGTTTTGTTAAATATTTAAGTTTATTCGACTTTGACTCAGAATCGTTAGCCAAATTGATCGAATAATTTCATGATTTCAGGTGGTGCTATGAACTCGAGGACCAGTAGTTTATGATTACCTTCAATACAGAAAATATTTATTAATTTTTATTTTAGTTTTATTTAGATTAGAATAGCTAAAAATAGAAATGTGGGAAGAAATAGTCTGTCTAATTTTTTTACCGTTTTTTCAGTAAAGACTTGTATTTTTATAGTAAACTCGAGTCGTTTAATTCAGCATCTTATCTAAATATTTTGGATTTGACAACTTAATTTAGCCAATCAAATTTTGCTTTGCCAAAATATACAAATAATGTTTATTTTACTCTTTCCTATTAAAATATTGCAAATAAAAAAAAGGTGGTAAAACATTATGATATTCCTATAAATAATATTATTGGATAACTATGATTAACATTTATTGGTGATTATATATATAAAATATAATTTTTTATGAAATCTTATAACTTTTATTACATTTTTATATAAAATCGACTCCTTCGGGACATTTTTTCGACTAGAAACTAGTTGACTTGAATCGCGACAATTTAAAGTTTAATTTATTGTTAGTGATAGGCTAGAGCACATCAGGCAAAACTTTGTAAAAACCCTAAAATTCTTTAAAAACTAAAAATCTTGATGATAACACAATTTTTAGCTAACTGACACCTAAAATTTATGTTAATTTTAAAAAATAATTTAAACTTTTTCAAAAATATTCAAAATTTGCAAGAGAATAAAAAAAAGGCACCTTAGACATAGTTATAGGATAGGACATCTTCTGACTGTTATAGCTTATAATTAGTTTTCTATTATTTTATTTTTATATTTGATCTATGATATTCGTTATGGGGTGGTACCTAAATAATAAATAATAATTAAATGAAATATATTTAATCAAAAACCCTTAACTTTTGCGCAAAATTTAATTGCTTGCATCAAGTTCCTCACACCATTTGTTACTTAAAAATAATAATTTGATTACTTTAATTACCATAAATGACCATACGTGCCTTTTTCCGATGTGTCCTTATCCCGTTAATTTGGCAAATAAATAAAATACGAAAAGTTATTCTTATAATGTCATACACAGATGATTAATTAAACCTTAAAAAGAAATCATATTTTGTTTAATGTTAAATATTATAAGAGACCTGCAGAGATACTATTTGCACGGTCCGACCCCGCTCAGAGCCTCGTTTTTTTTATAAAAAAAATTTTCGGCTAAAATATATTACATTTATTTTTATAACTAATAATGCCGATTTAAAATATTCGATTTTGAAATATACGGCCCGGCCCGGCCGGGGTATTTTGAAAAAAATTTTTTAGGCCTGGCCCATAGACCTCTTTTACCAAAAAACTCAATAGTTGGATGGAAATTAAATTCAGTTAGACTAGTAGATATCCTCATATCCTAATCAAATTACTAAATATACAATATCATACACCTTATCACCTTCTGATGAGGATAGGTTAGAAATAAGATGCATTAAGTCGGAGGAAATAAATGCGATGCCGAAATGGATTTACAAGGAAGTAGGCTGGACTAACATTGATTTCACATTCCTCAAACTGTGCTATGATCTAGATCCTCAAGGCTGGTTTGTGGCCGTTACTCCTAAAGAAGGCATTATTGGTATAATTATATTATATATATAGAAAATATATCCTATATAATGGAAAAAAAACAAGTCTAACTAGAAATAATTTGTTTAATTTCACCATTTGATGGCGATGAATGTGCGAATCATGTATAGATATTGCTGTAAACGTATCTAAAAAAATCAAACGCATCCGCGTTCAAAGTTACCTTTAAAAAAAGAAAAGCGTCCACGCTTTGTTTAAAACTTTTTTCAATAAATTTTTAAAAATTTCATTTAATATAAAATAAATGCCTTATATTTTTTAACACAATATATTAGTCATGTTCAAAATGAATAGTATAACAAAAAAAAAAATTTTAAATAACATAAAAAATCTAAATTTGTTCTTATGAATGAAAATTATAAAGGAATAAATTATTTTTTACTAAACGAATTTGGAAAATTTAAAATTTTATCTAAAATTTTTCCTCTTTAAAAAAAATTCTTGGAAGATTTTTTCAAATTCTGGAAAAATTAGATTATTAAAATTTAAAAAGTGATTTATTAATTGTTATTTATAAATTTAAGAAATGATTTAAAAATGTGGAAATATAATCATTATCCTTCTCAAATCTAATATTTTGTTCAAAATTTTTGCCTGATAGACAAGAGCTTGGCAGTTAATATGGCATTCGCTACACTAAAAACTTGCTCTATAGGGGCAGATGAGGGGATTGCAGCATTATAATAATTCTTTTAATGGGAAAATTTATTAAAAATATTTAATCCTCCTTCAATCCATTTTCTAATTCCTTATCAAAAAAGAAGGACATTTCGAAATTAACATTTCTTGCAATTTCATTATTATTTTCACAACTCACTTTCTCGATAAAGCTATAAGTTTTTTTTTATATCTTCGTTTTATCATGGCCACTGAAGATTGGATGTAAATTGCAGAAAGGATATAATGCTTTTCATGTATATATTCACATTTGAAAAAATATAAGTATTGATTTGACAAAGGTAGGTTTAATATTATTTATTAATCCATTTCATCTATCAATAGTTAATCTTAGGCTATTAATTTATTTTAATTAACATAATTATCGTTAATGTTGAATGCATCTTATCTCCCCTTTCTAAAATAGTGAGTGGAATTGCTAAAAATTCTATGATCTATTAAAATATTTATAAAATTATACTTTAATATTTATTTAAAAGAAATATATAAGGTTCATTAGGTAAGGATTGAAATTCCTTGAATATAGAATGTTATTATAAAGTATTTATTATATTTGGGCCATGGTAGTGAATTCAGAATCAGATAATTATGATGATGATGAAATAACGACAACCATGCTTATGCTAATCTATAAAATTCAAATATAAAACCCTTGAGCGAGTTAATATAGTGGGTTTTTAATTTATGCGAAAATATATAGTGTAAATTTGTGTCTCATTTAGAATAACTAAATACATCAATAGTATAATAAACAATTTAGGAGATTTTGTATTTGTAATATTTTTTTATAAGAAATGGAAATATTTTTTTTATAAGAAATGGAATAATTGTTTTGATAAAGTAATATGTGTAAGTGATATTCATTAAGAAAAATAAGGAAAATGTTTTTTCTATCTACACTCTCGAGTTGGTTTGGAGATTCATATTTCATTTACAAGAAATATCAGACAAGGACATCAAATGAAAACAAAGAAAGTTATTTTTTGTATGTTATTTATTCACCTAGATTCTTTGATTTAGCTCATTAATAAGGGGGGGGGGGGTATAGTATGTGAGTGGTGGGGATGTGAAAACCTACTCTGAAATAAATCTTCAAAAGAGTATTAAATGAAAGTTAATTTAAGAAAATATATTTAATTCATAGTGTTACAAATCTAAAATATTTAAAACATAAAATTTCCATATGAGTATCAAAAAGCTAATAAAAGGTGTTTACACTGTTACTTATCTCTATTTTTTTAGGTTAAATCTGGTGGAGAGGGAGGGTGTAGGATGGGCATAAAAATTATATATCTCTACATGAATCTCATTATAAAAATATCTTTAGACTGGTTCTTTATTTATATATTTTTTAATCAATAATAAAATCAGTATTTTGGTTGTACATAAATAACAAGCAAAGATAACATTGCATTATGGTAATTAGGCAATTTAATATAAAAATAGTTGTTGTGTAATGAATTATTAGTTAGGCTTTAATATTATTCCGTAACTTTATTTAATTGATTATTAAAATTTTTAAATATATTTCTGTCAATAAATAAAAAAAATTCCCGGAATATTAATAGAGGTGAGCTATTACACATTTATGATATTGGACTAAATGGGGGAATATTTACTGGAAATATGATAAATATCCATATTATTTAATCAAATAAGCGTAAATAAAATTGGGGAAATTATAGGGGATTCTAGGTTCTGGCAAATTTTTCCCTTGCATGCCTAGTTAATGTATTCCTAGTTATTTATAAAAATTATGAATAAATAAAATCTGGGCCGACCCGTACAAATTGTTTGATATATAAAAGAATAAGGGAATAGGTGTAAACAAATGAATAATAATTTATTTAAACATTCAAATTGATTTTCTTTTTTTATATCAATAGTAATATAGTAAATATAGATATTAAATTGAATACTCCTAATTAATAGTAATATATTAAATATAGATATTAATTTAAATATTCTTAATATGACACTGGGCATTTATAATAAATGGGCCTTTATTCGTCAAAATTAAAGCTTTCTATGGATACCTTAATAGAAGTGATTCATTTCAGCTTATGTGTCAACACATTTGAATTTCAGACAATTTTGCCTAGAAAATCTTGAATACTTTTAATTTACATAAAAATAAAAATAAAAATTAGGAAAACCATAGGAAAGATTCCCAGATGAAATATTAAATTTTAATTATTGACCGCGAGATAATAAAAAAAGGAATATTCAGGCCTCACACATTGAATTTAAAACAATTTTACCCAGAAATGTTTAAATACTTTTAACTAACATAAGAATACGTGGAGTTACAGTATATTTATTTTGGAAGCAAACAAAATTAAAAAAGCAAATTATACAGGCCGGGCAAATATATTAGACAAAAGAGGATAAAAAAGAAACGTCCCGGTTTTGATTTATATAATAATTATTTAAGATTATTAAACTTAGGGGAGGGCCTAAAATATTTGGTTTTAAAATATCCGGCCTAACTTTGGTTTTGATATAAGGATATAAACGATTTATTTCAAATTAAATATTTTTGAAAACCGTTATGAACTTTATATAATAATTGTTTAAAGATTATTTTTACTTAGTGTATGAGCCAGTTTAAAGAGGTTCCAAACTTGTATAGTTTTTCGAAGTTCTAATTCATAAAAATAGACGAGATTCCGAATCAAAAAAATACTGGGCTAAATTATATTTAGATTTTTCACCATGTTATGAAATATTTTTCACAAGTTAAAACCACTAGACTATCTATATTTTATATTTTTTATTAAATTTGCTTCAAAGATGGAGAAATGGTGACTACTTGCATTTATAGCAATTTGAAGGTGAAAATAATAACTTGTTTCAGCATCTTCCAACGAGTATATAATATTTAAATTAACAAACTATACTATAGGACAGAAATAGTCGTGGGTTTATAAATTTTAAATGTAATAAGGGAAACAGCTGATTAATAAATAATCCTATTAATATTTTTTATTTTTATAAAAAGATCTTTCTAAAAAATTGAAAGATCGTATAAACACCACGCGTTGGTCAAAAAAGGAAAGCGTCAGCGTTCAAAGTTCAGTAATAAAATGAACACCATTTATCATCTATTTCAAAAAAATGAACTTGGCTAATAACATTATAAATAGGTTAATTTAATTCTTTTATTAAAAGTAAAACAAATTGTATATTATACGTGGAGCTTGTTCCCTCCAGAGAATTCAAGCGATTACTTATGGCTGCTTTAGCACCGCATCAGCTTAATTTCAATGGGTCGCATCTGATATCAGAATAGTTTTTAGGACCTGAAAAAAGATGCGGACCAGAACTCGAACTCTGATCTTTGGTTCGTTGACTTGACTGGCATGTCATATCATATAAATATAACTATAAACTTTATTTTTAAACTTATTTTATTCTAATGACTTTTTTATACTAATAGATCAGGCGGGTACGCAGCATGAGGGGACAGGGGGACAAATCCCCCCCCCCTCCCCTCAAGCCAAAAAATGCAGATGCCGGATTAAATTTTTCAAAAATATTATTGTTAATATTAATTTATATTTAATATTTATTTCTATCTCATATGTATATTTAATTACATTTATTTATCATATTCATCTACTAAGTTATTTTATCAATTAATTTCGATTTTAAGTTTTCCTTAGCGTAATTTACCTATTATTTTCAAATTTTAGTGGCGTATTATTTATCTAAATTTCTAGTCAAATAATAATTATCTCTGAAACTCCTTGTCCAACAGGAAGAAAGAAATTGCAAGCTTGTCCAACGAGATCGAGTCTGCGCCATCAAGCATAACAGCTTTTATGGAGTTAGAAGAGCCGATTATTTATGCTATTACTGAAATCTCACAATGGCTTGAAAGAAATATTTCCTAGAAGCAAGAAAATTATTGGATTCATAACTTATTTCAATTTTTTTTCTCATTAGAATGTATTATTTAATTATACAACTACTTTATGTAAAACTTTTCAAAAACATGGCATTGACTTGATTAAAAGATGAGAATAGCGGAGAGCATTTTATTAAAACTCAAGGAAATTAGAGCTAATGTTGATGAAGAACATATTTTATATGTTATTGTTGAGTTAAAAGCAGAGCTATGGGTGTTTAAATTTGTCCCCCTCGATTTGTAGCAAGCTCATCGTCAAAACATTTATATAGGATCAGTAGTAGAGTATTATAAAACAAATGGCTCCTCTCTAAGATACATTTATAACCCAAATAAATGAATGGTTTTTAATTCATCATGCAGCACCTACAAATCCGCAGATATTACTTCCACAAAAGCCTTTCCAACCTCTTTCAGATGGTGATGGATAAAAAAATAAATATTAGTTAGATTTTTATCACGAAAATGTTAAAATATCTTATGATACCTTATTAGCTGAATAACTATGATTAAAAGATTAACTATAGTTGATACAGTCCCAAAAAATGCTACGGATGCTTTGCAAAATTATAATACGGTCTGGCCCGGGGGCCGGGCCTGCAAGTCTCTGAAAAACATACCTATGAAATACAACTTCTGAAAGTAGATTGAATGATTTGGATCTTTTAAATATTCATAGACATTTAACGCCAAGCAAGGATAGATAATTGAAAAATTAGCTCAAAACATACAAAATATAATTATTCCTAGAAACTTTTTATATATTAATTTATGTTTCCAACATTTAATTTTATACCTTATTTATAAATTTTAAAGGCTTAAATTCAAATTTCAATTTTGGGTCATTTAAGTGATTCATATCGTGGTTATATTCACTTTATATTTTATAATTCACATTTATTTTATAGTTTTTCAATGCCGGTTTATATATATAATTTTTTTGTAATTCACATTTATTTAAAATTGTGTATTAGAAAAGTTATTAGTCCTAATAAATTTATGCTTAATTTTTGAATAACAATAATATTTCTTAAAAAATTTTATTACCCCCCCCCCCCCCCAGACCAAATTCCTGCGTACGCGCCAGTAATGGATAGATGGTCTTTATCTTTTTATAAGATATAAAGTAAATTTTTAACTACTTTTTACTTTTTAATAAAAATGTTTATCTATAAAAAAAAATTATAAACCTCCTATTTTTATTTTTCAAAATTATATTATCCAAATTTTGAAATTATATAATAATAAAACAATTATTATGCAAAATATCTGGCCAATTTATTTTACAACGGTACCCTTTTTAAAAATTATTATATAAATATATTATAAATAAAATAACATAAAATTATATGTTTTAATTTTTGACCTTGTTCTTTGACCTTGTTCTTTGACCTTGTTCTTTGACCTTGTTCTTTGACCTTTTAATATGAAGAAAAATTACATGAAATTGCAAAAATTTAATTTTATCCATAAATAAATAAAATGACCTTCTTAGTAAATTTAATTTAGCACTGATTGCCAACATCCATTTCTACATTGACATAAGAGGATGATTAGATAGAGAATATATAGGCACTCTATTTTATATTTCAAATAAGTTTGAACTTGGAAAATATTTAGAATAAAAAAATGTGCTGACATGAAGAAATTAGAAGATATTCTTTAAGTAATATTGTTAAATCAGGCAGGACTTGTAGTATGTTTATTAGAAAAAAAGTTATATTGAGTCCTCGTTTATATAATGCTGCCACTTCCATATAAAAAAATGTCATCAGAGACTTCTCCACCGAACTGATTTAGAGGATTCTTGAAATATTTCGCCTTCGGAGTGTGCCGCGTGGTCAATAAGACGTTATATCTAGGATGACGAGAATATTGTTGTAAAAATAAATTGATAGCTATGTGTTGTATATAGGAAGGCCAGTTCATAAATAAAAATATTTTAAAAAATGAATCGCCTGCAAAATTTATTTTCAAAATAAATATCAAATTAGTTTATAAACTACAAAATAAGTTTATTGTTGTTTCCTCTATATTTTTAAAAAATATATATGATTCAAGGAAGTGTATTAAGTGTTAACTTGAACCATCAATATTCGTTCGCTAGTGTGTATATAGTCTCCAAGAACTATAGGCGCAGAGGAATAGGGAAGAAACTATGGAATACCATGTTAGGTCACGTGGCTCATAGATGTTTGGGTATCAATTCCGTCAAAGGAAGAGTTTTCTCCAACCTCAAAATGGGAATGACACCACCATTATTCAAAAGTATGTAATATATAAATTTGACAATATCTCTTGCTTTCAGATCTACGATCCTATGATTATGTATACAAATTTATTTTACCTATTATAGAATAGTTTAAATGACAGATAGTGAGCATATTAAAGTGGCCAACTAATTGAGATCAGTTTTCTTTGTAAGAACCCGAACTCGTTGTTAAGTTTTTGGGGGAAACATACAGGTTCTAGCAACTGCAGATAATTTAAAAAATATTGGGATGATTTATTTAAAGGGTTTAGTTGTTATTTTAAATATTTTTTTCGCTGCTTTTTAACAGAGTTAAGAATTGAAACTAGAACCCCTCTCTAAAATTTTTATAACCCGGAATTAGAACCACCATTTTTTAAATTTCAGATCCGGAGCCAGAACTATTTTTTATTCCAGGTCGTAAACTCTGGTTGGAACATTGCATATATAAATAATAAATTAACATATAATCGAATAAAATGGCGGAACAAAACAAAAATGATTTATGTTATTCTTCACCGTTAAAGTTTCCACATTCAACGGCTCCTTAAAACGCAATTCTCCTATGCTTCGTAAGTTTTTTAAGAACCCGGGCAACGATAAACTATCGAATCTCACACCTATTCCTACCATAAGAACGACATGTAATCATAATCAATGCAATTCTAATTATAGACATGATCATGAATGCAACATGATTGACGCCAAAAAGCTACAGAGTTACCGAATAATACAAACGAACCTCGACACTAATTACCTGATAGACGATGAGATAGATATAAAGGAAACCACGAGAGATTGGGGTCATGACAGTAACCAACCGACTCTGCTGGTTGATAAACTATTTTTAAAGGTTTCCTTCTACAATAGCCTGAATACTAGAAGTGGAGATTTAGCTAGATATAACCATGAAGTGAAATTACCAAGTAAAGCTATAAGTGTGGTATTTATGGACGGTGTAGATATCAATTTAACAACCTTACGCGATTATGACACGGCCATTCACGGAGGTCTGGCCAGGGAAAAATTGTTAAAGACTTTTATACAGTTATCTGCAGAGGTTTTTATTTTCTTTTTTTGAATGATAGCTCTCCCGAGAGTTATAAAGAAAAATTTACTTAGTTATATATTGTGATTGTAAATAAAAATTGTTTGCTATATCATTTCTATTTTACTTTTTTTAAAAAAAAAATAATTTATTAAGAATGACTTGTCATATAAAGTAAGATGTATAGTAGCTATCAAACGCTGCTCCGAAATGGAGATATGTGGGTATGGAATTATACGACCTGGAGGAATTTCCTCTACCACTCTAAATAACGAGACCTTTATTTCTCTTAGCACGAAGAATTCAACACCTATATCTTCGGAACATTACATGATAATAGGCCCGCTCTACGCCGATTGTCCTAAAATCGCTCATACATTGCTGAACGCTCTATTAAACTCCATCCCTGCTGAGTGGGAAATTAATGTCGAGTTAACCGTTCCCTTGAAAATGGAACCTAAAGCCATAGATACTTTAAACATTCTTGACCTAAATTTTTTATACATGGCTGCTACAAAAGAATTGGAACTTATCAAAGAAGATGACTATTACAGAATGTACCAGAATAACATTCTGGAGACACTAAATGGGTTCCAAGAAAATGTTAAAGAAAGCAAACCGATTGGAAGTAATATTGAGAAAAATAATGTTGACGAAAAACGAAAATGTATTCCTATTCCTAAGATTTTAATGGAAAAGGTTTATTCTTTCGTGAGTTCAGATATGTTTTTAGATTAAACTAAATTATATATGATCTAATTTAAAAAAAAAAAATAGCTTTATATTTTAATATGGAAAATGATTGAAAAATATATTGCTATTAATTGTTTTCAAATATAAAAAATATATTAAATTTGTGATAAATTTTAACAAAATTTTACAATAAATTATTTATTATATACTTTCTAATTGCAATTTAGAATTTTTATATACATGTATTAATTTTTTTTAAAAAAATAGCTCAATATTTATAATTATTGACCCTGTATTTTTTTAAAGTTTTCATTTTTAATGGCAATTTAGATTTTTTTCTATTCATGTAATGATAAATTATAAATATATTAGCTCAATGTTTATCATTATTGACTCTGTTTTAAAAATGTTTTCAAATATTATTATTGTCATATTTCCTCCTCAAAAAAAACTACAACAAAACTTTATTCTATTAAAAAACTTGTATAGATATTTATTTTGTGATATATCAAATTTAATTTTTTATCGCAACATGCTATGGTCAATTTGGTGGTATAGTTTTTAAAATTTATAGTATATTTATTTGTTATAAATTAATTTCAACACGATATTATTTATATAAAATATTATATAGTTTAATAAACTGCGTTCCAATCTAATCCTATTTTATTTGTATACACATGTAAAACTAATGTGATACATGACATTAAGCGCCTAGCCCCTATGCGTTATAAATATAACAGAGTTATAATATATATACAACAGAGCAACGCTTTGTTCTCTCAGAAAGCTTATTAAAATGGGATAAAAAGACAGGAAATAATAAAAAGAAGGGTCATACACGGTTTTGGGCAGGCCCCAGTAACCTGTGCGCGCAAAAGGAAAAGCTATTTACTTAAACGCCCATGGAAAATAAGAGGAGAGGTAAAACGCCCATGCCCAATTAATTTAACTTTTATATAGGATTGTGAGAACCTAGAAAATATAAATACCACTATTAATAAAGCTAGCATTATCACCATTAGAAGATATATATTGGGAAATAAGGCAGTGTAAATATAAATAATAAATAGGTGTGACCCTCTCTCTCGCTCCTAGAAACATTGGATAAATATATAAGGGTATATTAATATATGGGTTTACTATATTGGTGTTAATGTTTAATAGTGTATTAGGTTACTATTAAATCATTTGTTTATAAATATGCGTAGGAAATGTTCTAATGATATACACAGGAAGATATTGGATGATTTGCCGTGTCTAATAAAAGCTTTACGTGTAAAAAAACGGAGGCCTGGATGTATTGGGTGGGGGAGGTTGTATAAATATATACTTCGGTCATATAAAAACCATGCTAAAAGTCACGTCTAATAGAGATTAATAAAAGGGAGGATTATGGGTATTAAATACAGTCTAAGGATGTGTAAGACCGGCAATCTTGGCCAGTAAGTTTTGAAACTTAAATTATCAAAATAATTATTTGGTATGTAAAAGAAATTTTAAGTAATTTATTGAAATAAATATTTAAAGATTTACATAGAAAAATATTGTATTGAATAACTATCTAAACGTGTAAAAAGGGCTAGGTTTAGGAATTGAATGAGTAGGGTAATTTAAATCAGATTAGGTGGACGGCTACATGAAACTGATACAAGGAAGGTGGATCAGGTAATACTAAAATGGCATAAGATTAAACTTTTTAAAGGATCCTAACAGAAGCTGGCCCATGCATTGATTTCAAAAATTGTTGCTACCGGATCAGCAGAAAAATGGTAGGGTGGTATTAGACCACCCACAGTTCACTATGAAAATGGTGATTCTGTAAGCTCTCATATTGAGATAAGAAGACCGACCTGCCACCCAGTGAAAAATTCTTCAAGCGAGTAACTAGTATTTTGTAAACTCAGTGCATTGGATTATGCTGCCGCTGAAATATTTAAAAAAGAAGCAAGCCTAGGACCTAACCGATGCTAATAAGATAGCCAATCTGATACTTACCAAACAACCTCTAGGAAAATGCCCTCAGAGGTTAGTGTATTTCATATGGTTCACGGATGAACAGCGGTTTACAGTAACTCCACCAATAAATCTTAGGGTGTAAGTTAAATAAATAAATTATTATATGTTGGAAAGTTAAAATTTTGTTAGTTTAACTTTGAATGTACATTATGAACTCCTTTGATAAAATTCGAGAAAATAAACAGAAAACTTCATTGATGGGCAATCTATTTGCATTGGCTAAGTCCTGGGCTTGTCTCAATTTCATCTGCAACTCTTTGTGGATGATGCAATAGGTTTGCGAAATATCTGTTTCTCGGGATAGTTTATGAATTGTTCTGTGGGCGCCACGGGCTTCTTAGCTCAATACAAGTGTTTCAACAGAATCAACATTTTCCATAGTACTATCTGTGCATGTTCTACTACCACAGTTACCTTTTTTCTTTTTGACCCGGTAACACAATTTTACAATCGATTCAAGGCTGCGCTAGACCAGTTCCTGTTAGAAAATTTCTTCAAAAACTTTTTGCCTCCATAATATTTTTCTTCTCTTAAAATTTTTATTAAACTCAAGTCGTCTTGAAAACCATTTTTCATTATCATCTGCTTAAATGTAAAGATAAATAAAATAAAAAAATTGAATTTTTTTTACATGTTGGAAAGTTAGAAGTTTGTTTGTCCAGCTTTAAATGTGCATAACTTTGGACCCTGTTGATAGAATGATGAAATTCAGAGAAAATATTGATAATTTATGCTTCTCTTAATCTATAATTGTATTTTTAGAATTGACAGATTTATTGCTGAAAAATTTGACGTTTCTTAAATTTACGCAGAAAAAAATATTTGATTATCAATAGTTTTGTGAACCATAGTCTTTTAGACTCCCTCTTCAAATCTATGATGCTGAGCCTCCCCCTCCTATTTTTATTATAAAATGGATATTAACTATATATAGACTACTTCCCATATTTAGTGGTGCAATTGATTCATAGTCTTACCGTGCTAGAAACAGAGTTCCAGGTCAAATTTTTTAATATGGGGAGAACATTTTATTATATGCATGCAAATGAGGCCCCCCCCCTCCCTCCAATATTTATCTTGTGAGGGGCTCCCTAGTTGCGTGTTAGTTAAAATATCTAGATATTTTTTTAAAAACTATTTATTATGTATAATCATCAGATGCCTCAATCTATCTTTCTTATATTCTATGTAAGTTCCATATTATTCTAAATATCCTGATTTCTAATTTTATTTTAAAAAAAATGGAAATTAAAAATATCTCTATATTTAATAAAAAATTTGTTAAGTAATCACCAGACCAGATTCTTCGCCTATCTTATATTCTCTGTTATTCGTTTTATATTGTAGATTATCACAATATTGTAATTTTATAAAAGATGGAGGTTAAAAATATTTATATATTTTTTTAAAAAAAGAATTTTTATATAATCATCAGATTCTATAATCATTTCTTAGATTCTATGGTATGAGTTCCATTTGATTCTAGATTCTCTTGATATTTAAATTTTATTAAAGATGGAAAATGAAAACATCCTTATATTTATAAATAAAATGGATAACCCCGTTATGTTTATGAATATAATCAGACCTTTAACATTATCAATTATAACCATTTATTATACTTATCTATCTTGATATTCTATAAAATATAAGGGATAAATATCTATATATATAACCCTGCAGAACCGTATCTTTTAAGGGTCTTCACTATATAAGTTCACTTAAATTCTAAATTATCCTAGTGTTTTGATTTTAAATGAAAAATATACATGATATATGCATTTAACTTTTAATAATAAATGATAAACTTCAAATTCAGGGTTTTGACAAAAATTTGATTTTAAAATAAATCTAAAATAACATCTAACATTTTCTTAAATTTATTAGGGATTGGTGACTATAAAATTGACAATTGTTAATACCTTAACATAACTCCGGGTTTTAAGCTAAAAACTCGGTTCCCCTTTTCCGAAACTCTAGGGAAATGACTAAATGAAGCAATGCCTAATTACTGTAAATCAATAAAAATTAAATATGTGATGAAAAAAAATTGCATAAAAATGTAAAATTTTTGAACATTTAAAATGTATAATATATGAGAAATATTCATGTTGCGTTGCATATTATATATGAACTGGTAAAGTATTTAATTATGAAAAAGATATATGCTATCAACTTTGTGAATGAACTAATTTTAATGATTTCATTAGCAATCGATATCAAATCATTTTATTTATGTTTTGCAGATAACTCATTCAATATGTATGTATCTCCTATATTATTTTTTATTAATAAAGAAAACGGAATTAATTTAGTCAAGTTTTAATGGATAATTATTAGGAAATAACTCTTAGATTTGTGAACCACTTGATAAATCAAGGATCTCTCATTTACTTGATTTAAAAACCTTAATTTCACAGATTTTTTTTAAAAAAAACTAATAAATTAATATTTTAGGCAAAATTATATTATTAGATTGCGCCAAAAGTGGCTGGGAGGTTTGTCTTTCTCTCTTTCTTTCTCTTTTACTAAAATTTGAAACTAATTTATACATAAAATAAAAGATTTTATTATTAAGAAATTCAATTTTATCATGTATGATAGTTTAATGCTTACTTATTATTATAATTGAAATAGATATAATATATTTAAACAAATAATATAATGAAATATATCATTTTTAAGTATTTCAGTTTATTTTAAAATTATAATTACTTTACTACCGTGCTTTGCATTATGATGCCAATTATCTTATTTGGATAATAACATTTCTATTATTGTCTACCAAACGGATTGAGGAAATGAACTAAAATAAATTCAGCATTGCTTATTAGCTTGGTTTATAGTGCTTCCAAAAGCTTGGCAAATTTATATTTAAGGCGTGACTTCATAAAAAAAAATATATAAATAATAAATATATTTAATTGTAATAATTTTCAGATTACCAATCTTAACACTCTTAATAAGCACTTTTCTTCTTTAAATGATTTCCATCCTTTTTAAATAATATTTATTAATATTAAATATCGATAAACTTTTGATATTACAAAATTCCTTTTCATTTTGAAGTTATCGATAGCTTGTAATTGTGGGACACCACATTATTAACTTATCCACTCATGGCTAAGGGTTTGCTCTGAAAGCATGTTTCAGCTATCCTGTTTTCTAATTACCCGGAATATTAGGTTATAACTAAAATTCGGGTTATTATAGGAGACACATCACTCATATATTTGTTTGGACAATACGGTAATATATAATGTTCGGTAGTGATCCAAAAGGAGGTACGTTTTACCTTTTAAACATTTATAACCCGAAAATGATTGGAAAAGCCAATTTTCATCTAACTATATTTTTTTTCCAGCCTTAGATAGAATATACATGCAAACTTTATCGCTTAAGAGATACACATTTTACAAAACAACTCAATCATTACAGACTTCTCTCAGACTTACCAATGAGAGAATCCACTCAAACAACCTTTGGTGCTCTTGAGCTTACCTTTATAAAAAATAGAAAGTTCATCTCAAAAATTAGGAACCAGGGAGAGGTTCTACCAAAAAAAGGCAAATAGCTATCAAAATTTGCAAATTTAATTTTCTGAGCTTTCTTGATTTCTCCGGTTTCTCTTAGCTAACATTATTTCGATAATAACTCAGTCTTATAATTATTTTAATATTTATATTTAACTATTTTATTCAAAAAAAAATTACTTAAAAGATCAAATTTAATATCATGTACAATCAATTTAATAAATTATACAAATACAACTAATATAACTTGTCGTAAGCAATTAAATATATCAAATTTTAAAACAACCATATTGTTTATCACTACTCCTGTGTTGCGCTATAAAAAGTTTAATTTGTCATTGTTTTAAATGTAGTTTTCATTAGAATAAAGATTCTTTTGAACGAGTAAAATATTTTCTAAAAAAAAATATATAAATAGCGAAAATAATGAATATTATGAAATGATCACAAATTATAAGTTAATAATAATAACTAATAACTATTTTTCTAAAAAATGAGTTGGACTAATAACAAAAAATTGTATCAATCGGGAGTTTAATTAACCTAATAACAGGGTCAATAATAAAAAATATTGGGCTATTTTAAAAAAATAATATATATATATATATTACGTGTACAAAAAAAATAAATTCTAAATTGTCATTAAATTTTAAAAAGGTATATAAATAATATGTCAATAAAACATAAAATTTATCACAATTTAATATTAAAAACAGATATATGATAATATGGTAATAATAATACATATATTTTTTAAAAAATTAAATTTATATAATCTAGTTTAATCTAAAAACATATCCGAACTTACGAAAGAATAAATCTTTTCCATTAAAATTTCAGGCGTAGGAACACACTCTAGTGTTTTATCAACATGATTTTCCTCGAAATTACTTTTAATCGGTTTGCTTTCCTGCGCATTTTCTTGGCATTCATCTAATGTATGCGGAACGTTATTTTGATACATTCTATAGCACTCTTCTTCGGTTCTTAGCCCTAACTCTGTTGTAGCAGCCGTGTATAGGAAATTTGTGTTGAGCATTGAATTATTCGAAGTATTGTGCCCGTCTTTCATCTTTAAAGGAACCGTCAACTCGACATTAATTTCCCATTCGGAAGGGACGGAGTCTAGTAGAGCTTTCAATAATGTATGAGCAATTTCTGGATTATCGGCATAGAGCGGACCTATTATCAAGTAATGCACCGCTGTTAGAGAAGCGGAATCCCTAGCGTTAGGACAAGTATGGGTCTCGTTATTATTTTTGGAAATGGACAATCCTCTAGGTCGTATAATTCCATACCCACATATTTCCATTTCGACAAATTTGGTAGCCACTATACATCTTACTTTATATGTCAAATCATTCTTAATAGGTTTTTTTTAAAGATAGTAGTAATAGTATCTGAGATAATTAAGCCTTAATATTTTTTATATTAGTTATATGTGAGAATGTATATAACCCATTTATTTTAACCAATAACGATTGATGTTCTTGACAAAAATAAAATAAAGGAAAAATATTTTTTATAGTTCACGATTACACATACAAGGTATAAAAAAATGTTTTAAAAATATCAGAAAAACTACAATATGCCAAAAAAAAGTAATAAACCTCCGCAGATAGCTGTATTAAGGTCTTTAAGAAATTTTCCCTGATCAGACCTCCGTGAATGGTCGCGTCGTAATCGCGTAAGGTTGCTAAATTGATATCTATGCCATCCATAAATACCACATTTATATTACCGGTATTACTTTGTAGCTTCACTTTATCGTTATACCTAGCTAAATCTCCGCTCCTAGTACACAAGCTATTGTAAAATGGATCCTTTAAAAGACGTTTATCATCTAACGGAGAGGGATCGTTGTACCCTTTTCTTGTAGTTTCCTTTAAATCTATCTCATCGTCTATCAGGTAATCATTTTTACAGTTAGTTTGTATGTTAAAGTAGGTGTGAGGGTTTTTGGCGTCGATTACATCGCTTTCATTATTATGTTCATTCTCCTTAGTATTGTGCTCAATTTCGTGATTACACGTTGTTTTGTTTAAAGTAGAAAGATGTGTGAGATCGTTGATAATTTTATTGTTACAGGGGCCCTCAGAACGCCTCAATGAGGAATGAAGTATATGGGCGTTGCGTTTCAAGGAACCGTTGAATATGGAAACTGAAAAGTGGGAGAATACAATTTCATTTTGTAATGTTCCATTTCATTGGATTACATTTAACCAATATTTATTTACATGCAATGATATGCTATCTGAAAATCATTAAACAAAATATTCAAAGTAGTAAAAAAAATAGGAACATAATCAAAGGAAAGTACATTTTTATAGGAGAGCGAAAGCGAAGACGAAAGAGATTCTTAAATTTATATACCTTTGAATAATGGTGGTGTCATTCCCATTTTGAGGTTGGAGAAAACTCTATCTTTGACTGAATTGATCCCCAAGCATCTGTGAGCCACATGACCTAGCATGGCGTTCCATAGTTTTTTTCCTATTCCTCTGGACCTATGGTTTCTCGAAACTAAGTACAAACCGGCGAACGAATAATGATCGTTTAAGTTGACACTTAATACGGTTCCTTGAATTATGAATATATATTTTTTTTAATAAGGTATAAAATTTTGATGGCTTTAACTAAGAAACCTGGACAAATTTTCTATATTCTTATGAATCTGAAACTGACACTTCTTTTATTTATTTCCGTAGAAGGTAGGAACTTAAGAAGTTTAATATCTTTATTTATTGAAAGTATCCATTCAATGTTTTTTTGCGTGCCGTATGACTATTCAGAGATGCCTATATGATCTTTTACATATATGGTAGCGATTTAATTAATAGTTCTTACGGAATTTCTAAATATTTCAGGCTAGATTGGCTCAAAAATTATGACTAAGGCCAGGATTCAAGCCCCGGTCAACAAATTATTTTCGGAACAAATTTGTTTCCTAAATATGAACACAATTGGAAGCCCTACTCTATAATCAGAGACCTGCACCCAGCCTGGAGGGGTCGGGCTGGGCCGCATTTTAAATTTTTATATACCCTGGCCCGGCCTAAAAAAGATATTTTTAAATACCTAGGTCGGACCGGGCCATATATTTTAAACTGAATATTTCAAATCGCCATTATTAGCTATAAAAATTAAAAATAAATGTTATACATTTTTTAAAAGTCCGGCAGAGCCTAAAAATATAGAACCCGGATCGGGCCCGAAATTTTAAAAAAAAATTCCTGGTCGGGTGTTGTAAAATGGTACCCCTTATTAAATTTGTTTCGGCAAAATAAAATTGACATGACCTGTTTAATTCACACAGTTATAGTATTTTCCTAATTTGACTTTGTCAGTGAATATAAATTTGTAATATTTGATATATATATAAACAAAATTAAACCAATTATGCCTTCTATAGGGGTGACGGCCACAAACCAGCCATGAGGATCTAGATCATAACACAATTTTAGGAATGTAGAATCATTAGTTGTCCAGCCTACTTCCTTGTAAATCCATTCCGGCATCCTATAAATCTCCTCTGCCTTTATGCATCTTATTTCAAACTTATCCTCCTCATCGGACGATGTCATCTAATGTTAGGTGTATTATATGTTTTGTAGGGTTTAGAGGGTGACACACATCTGTCTAAGTAAATTTAATTTCCATCCAACTATCGAACTTTATTGAGAAAATTTGTTTGTATAAGAGAGAATGAGAAAAAAAAAGTCGGTTTACTTAAATGGATGATAATATATTAAATTATAACAACATGTGATATTTTTTAAAGTTCAAATAATATTCTTTTTAAAAAATAAAATACTTTATAGGTTAATTATTGGTAGTGTTGTTAAACGGCTCGATTTGTTTTAAATATGACTAAATCAGGATTTTAGCCAAAATATTATTACTTCGAGCCTCAAAATTTCGTCAATACATATCTAAACCTTTCCACCGTTTCTGGACAAAATCAAAAAACTTGGTTGGCTAGAATCTTAAATTAGTCGTTTATAAAAATCGGCTATATTAATAAGTTTAACCACATTAATTATTGGGGATAGAAGATTAACACCATTTTAGCTTACATGACTTCCATTAATAATCGTTATTAAAAAAAAAATTTTCTTTTATCTAATGTCACATAAATGATTACTTTAAAAAATTTCTAAATAAAGATAAAAATTTAATATTATATAAGTAGAATTATAGTCCCGTATATTTAATTTTCTTTTTTCAGCCGGATCTAAATTTTTTTTAAAATTATTTAAGCCCAGCCCAAAATTTATTTTTAGGCCTGAACCCGACTTGGCCTTTAAAATTTCAATTGAATACTTTTTAGGATAAATAATTGAAAAATCAATAAATTGCTCTAATTCTTTCTTTCTTTCTTTCTTTCTTTCTTTCTTTCTTTCTTTCTTTCTTTCTTTCTTTCTTTCTTTCTTTCTTTCTTTCTTTCTTTCTTTCTTTCTTTCTTTCTTTCTTTCTTTCTTTCTTTCTTTCTTTCTTTCTTTCTTTCTTTCTTTCTTTCTTTCTTTCTTTCTTTCTTTCTTTCTTTCTTTCTTTCTTTCTTTCTTTCTTTCTTACTTTCTTTCTTTCTTTCTTTCTTTCTTTCTTTCTTTCTTTCTTTCTTTCTTTCTTTCTTTCTTTCTTTCTTTCTGTCAAGGATTTATAATTTTTTAACCAAGGGTTCGAACCAAACCCGAACCCGGAGAAGAAAACTTTGGTTTTGGGGAAAAAATTTGAACTCGAACCGATCCTGAACCCCGTTTATAAAATTTTCATAACCCCGAACCGAACATGGGAATTTTATTCGAACCCGGTTTCAACCGGGTTCAGTGTATTGTTTAAATTATTATAAGATATTTGTATAATTGTAAATACAAATATTTATAATTTACTTGACATTTTATAATATTTTCAAATTTCCAATTAAGTGTGTTAATAAATTTTAAACAACAATTCATTTACTCCATTTTTAAATTTTTTTAAATATATTCTCAAAGATTCCTATTGGATTGTTAATAAATTTCAAACAATTAAATTCATTTATGCCATTTATTTTTTATTTTTAACTTATTCTCAAAGATTATTAATTAGAGGAAAATGAAAGTGAACAAGTCAAAGTAAAATTATTATATTGGATATTGTTAATTTAAAGAAATATGTCTAAATAAAATTTTTTAAATCTATACATGACTATGCTTTGTATTTTTAACTATATTTTGCCTATAAATAAAATAAAAATTTATTTTTTATACCAAATTTATGTCTAGTTTTTTAATTATGATTTAAATAGAGAATATTTTTTTTATCAATTCAAAAATTCTTAAGCCCGAGCTGATCCCGAAACCAAACCCGGATTCAAAAAAATTTCCCTGAACCGAACCCACCTATTTTTTTTAACCTTAAACCGAACTCGAACCGAACCCTGGCAAAAAATTTTCCGGGTTCGCATCCCTGCACTAAACTTTTACAATGACAGGTGGAACAAATGTGATTAATATTTTAAGATTTTCAATGACTTTTTTTCTATAACGGTAACATTTCCAAAATAAATTTTTTTAAATTTTCAGGGGAATTTGCCTCCCCTCCCCTTCCCTTAGTGATGCTATTTATAATATACACACCCTTAGTATTTTTAAAATTTAAGTTAAAATGAAATCAAATGTTTAAAGTTACGTTAAATTAAATCAGAAAGAAAAGAAAGATATGAGTAAATTAAACGATTGGATCTTTACAAAAGCGATTTTCTTTATTCAATACCTTTGAATCTAAATATATATTTGAGACTCATAAAAAAGTTTACAAATATAAAATTAAAATATCTTTCCAAGATCACGAAACAATAGTAAAAAAAAAATACATTTACCCCCCCCCCCTTTTTTTACGAAGTTCGATGATAATATAATAAATATTTTGAGTTAGAAATATCTTAATTCCATTTATAAAAAAGTTGAGCCCGGGCCAGACCTAGACCTAAAAAATTTTACCTACCCGGCTTCTGGCTGGCTTTGGCCTGGTTCGGATTGAAAAAATCATTTGGTATTAATAATATAATTAATTAATTTTAATAAACTTTTTTTTACTAAAAAAAACGTTTATAATATTATTACCTGCTTGCTATGTCAAAAATATTATCCTTTTTTTTGGAACGAATAGAAGAAAAATAATTTCGAAATAGCTTCCAAATAAGATGAAATTATATCCAAGGTATAGATTGCCAAAATAAATTTGCTGATATTTAATTAAACTTCTTTTGCCAAAATATATTTTTTTTAAATCAATAAAATCAATCATATCCTTTATAATTATTAATTATTAAATTATCATTATTAATTGATTTACCGAGTCCCTTATAAATTTCTTATTAATATTTTGTCCTCTTCTTCTTTTTTTTGAAATTATTTTGTAAAATTTCCGATTCTGAAAATTTTGATTCTTATTTATTTCTTTATTCGATATAATAAAATAAATTTTTAGAGGTCTCACTTTTTTGAAAAATATATTTTGTTAATAATAAATTATTCATCCGGCACAGGAATAAATAAATATTAAAAAAAATTGAAAATTATTTCTGCCAGGTATTCCCCCATCTTAGTTGGATTTTTACTTTATCTTTAACATTCCCTAATTTTTACTATAATTAATATATATTATTGACCAAACCCGATCCATCTTTGTTTACTCGAAACCAGTTTTGTGCTTTATTAATGGACTCATTTCTTACACTTACAAATAAAATTGTCATAAAATCTTAAAATTCTCCAATATTATTTTCATAGTATTCAAAATATGCATTAACTCTTCCTTTTCAATATAATCTCAAGTTTAGTTCGCAGATAAAACTTGGCATTATCACTGATTTATGATATACCTTTCAGTTCCACATATAGTTTAGATCAATGTATATGGGGATATAAAAATATTTAATTTTAGAATTTATTTTTAAAAAAGCCCTCCCCTTTTTCCCTAAAAGTAACTTTTTAAAATTTTATATAGTGATAAAAAATTTCAAATATATGGTTTTAAAAACCAAGAATGGTCTCATATTATAGAAATATCTCCATTTTATCATCTTTCAATTTTTCGGATTAAAAGACAATTTTATAATTACCATAAAATGAATGTGAAGGGCTTGGTGCATATTGTTTGGAGCTTTAGATTATAGGTAACTATAAATTGACACAACTTCTTTAATATTGGAGTTTAATTATATACCCAGATATTTGTGTATATTGGCAGTCTATTGAACATGTTGGTCACATTACTGATTCTGTCGTGCATACGATCGTTCAATATTGCTATGCCTTTCGTCACTATTGCTATGTGAAACGTAAGGACTGGAAGGAGCTATCGTAAACCTTATTAGGGGCGCCGGCTTGCTCAGGTGTAAAAGATCAGGGTCTACAAGAGCCTGGAATGAAGGAACATTTTGCTTCCAAATTTTTTGAAAGGAGTTTAAAGGGGATAGGCAAGGGGTAAATAAATTTATTGGGGGGCTATATTAAATTTTTAGATGAAATAAGGCCTAATATATTGATGTAATAAAATTATTTTATACTTTTATAATAGGTCTATTATAAAAAAAATAATATTGCTAAACATCGACCAAATCTATATTTTTCATATAAAACCTATTTCTGGATAATTTTCTGCTATCATTTAAAAAGGTTAGAGATTTATTAGCAAACTCATATTCATGTGTTCTAAGAAATAACTTTTTTAAATTAAAATTTTTTGATAGTTGGTTATTTAGAGTTGATAATTAAATTATTCTTTTTAAAATATATGAAGGGATTACCATTATAATTAAAAATGTGTAATTAAGAATGTGGGATTATCGGTGCAGGAGTTGACAAATTTTTTAGAGGGGTGGGTCGGTATAGGTTCTTGAAGGGGTTTGCTTCCAATGAATATCATTCCATGTAGATTCTGGGCTATAGGCCTAAAGGAAAGGAGATTTATTGATGGGATAGAGAGTCCGGTTCTATCGTGTAACTTTTAACATCAAATATGGTGGCATCTAGATTTATATGAGAACCAGGCCTAAAACGAATTATTAGTTATTTGATTTGATTCGTATTTTACGAATACGAATAGCACAAATATGAATAATGAGAAAAGTATTCGTCGAATAGAAAACTTTTTAATATTCAATTCAAATTATTCGATATTTATAATTATTTATATTATTCGAAATTATTTATAATGGAATTCTTTGAACAATTATACCTATCTCATAATATAAAATAAATGCAAAAACTTTATGATAATAATTTAAGTAAATAAATAATGAATACAAAGTTAAATATAATAAACATCATCTGATAAACAATAGTCCAGTCAAACATGGATAAAATATTCAAACAAAATATCAACTCATCAATAAGCGTTGAAATATAACTTAATGAATTATCGCTTCTAGGGATGATTTCCCCGTGTTGTTGAATATGGCAGCTTATATTAATGATATAGGAGTGTAACTTATGGGGGTGTATCACTCATACAGACGGGGTTCATGTGAGCAGTTATTCTCAATAAGGACAAATATGATAATGAAGAATAGAATGTCTTTGAAGGAAGAAACTGTTGCATGTTCGCTTAAATTGTTATTATCTTTTATTCAATGAAATTAACATGTATATAAATACATCTCAAGGCGATAAAACATATATATATTGATATATATTTTAATTTAGAATACCACTTGTTTTCTTTTGTATAACTATATTATTAAATAAAAAAGACCACTTATTTTCTTTTGTATAACTATATTATTAAATAAAAAGGCCACATCTTGTTCAATATTCCTCCTTAATTATGCAATACAATCACACACAATTTATTCTATAGTATTTATTCTTGTTCAATATTCCTCCTTTTATCAAATAAAAAGACCACATCTTGTTCAATATTCCTCCTTAATTATGCAATACAATCTCACACACAATTTATTCTATAGTCTTTATTCTTGTTCAATATTCCTCCTTAATTATGCAATACAATCTACACAATTTATTCTATAGTATTTATTCACTGTTCAATAGAAACCATTAGAAAGACTTTGTGCTTAAAAACTGGTTATCGAATTCGGATCTAGATAATTAAATATTTACTGTATTATATTTTGATGTTTATAAAATGAGGTTATTGTGCATTTTTAGAAATCTTTAATAAAATTTGAGAAAATTAGTTCGAAGAAATAACTTATAGAAAAGAATTCGATATTTATAAGAATTCTAATTCTAAAAAATGTTTTCGGCCAATTATTCGGATAGCATTTTGAAATATTGGGTTTTATTTCGTTTGTTATTTTCTGTAAAATTTGATATGCTAATGATAATTAGTTAGTAGAATCAATAAAAGTGTCATTTTTAAACATCCACATCTGTTTATAAATTTTTGCATAGTATAATCATTTTTATATGACACACGTTATGTAAGATTCTTCATCTCATTTATCAGTTCAATATATATATAAGTATGCGTCGTAGTGGGGCATCGCTAGCCTTTACAGTCACAGGCATTTCTAAATATAATATTTTTTAATACAAAATCTATTTATTACAGTATAAAATATTTTCGCTGATATAAAAAATTTTGCGTCTAAAGAATTACAAATTATAAAAAAGGTTAATTAACTCATACATATGCCTCAATTGATAATAGTTTTTAAAGACCACATAAGTCAATATAATTCTTAGCAACTTACATTGACAAAAGGTCTTGAAACTAATATAACTCTCTGTTACCAACAGTGTTTTATAGAATGAACCAATAAAGAAAAATTTATAGGCCTAACTAAATTAACAATTCTTGAAGAAGAGAATAAAACGACCAATTAAAATTATAAAACTATATGAAGTTTAGAGCTTCCTCTTAGATGACAAGCTAGATAAGTAAACTAGAAAATTATTGTGAGATATTATATTCTAAAAGATTATCTTCCATTTTTAATGATACATAAACGACTACACAGTTGATCATTATTGCTTATCTAAAATATGCTCTCAGCAGCTATAGTAATAATCTTAAATTACATAGCCACACAAATAATAGATGCTGGCTAATTTGCAGTCATAGCCATGACACCAACAATGTTAACTCATATCAGAATTTATTATGTTAGATAAATTGATAACAAAAACACTTATAATAATTTGAAGAAATTATGCAAATATATTGAGGCCTTGAGTTATTTACATGGCAAGGATGCCATATTAGAAATGAAACATTTTGTAACTATAAAATAAGAACCAGAGTGATATGATGAAAGCTATTAAGGTTTTATATATTATTGTTACATCACCTCTAGTTAATATTATATCTTAAAATAATAGTAGTTTGTAATAATATCAAAAATACACTTGTATAACAAAACTGTTTTTCAAAGAAGAAAAAAATAGCTTTCCTAAAACATGTTAAAAAAGAATTTATTGCATCCATTTTGGGATGAATAATAAGATGTTTAATTTTTAATAATATTTTTAAACTAAAAGATGCGATAAAGAATTGAATATAAATTGCTTCTTATATTTATTATCAAAAGCATTTATTGGTAAAATATATTAAAATATTAGTTTTAATATATTATATAACTGTCAAATATATTTTATAAACAATTATATATAATAGAAGATTATAAACTATATGTCTACTTACTTTTTATCTCTTATAATAATTTGGACCTTGAAAATATTTTTAAGAAGGGGCATGGTAATTAAATTTAAAAATGAATTATATAGATTAATGAATTTGAACTCAGCTATTTACAATATTAAATTTGTTAATTTTCAATTAATAAATGATTAATTAATTTAATAGGGTTATAAATATATTTAAATAATAAAAGTCAATTAAGCTTCAACTAATATTACTATTTAATGAGTGATATTGATATTTTTTTAACAATTTGATTGCAAGCTGACATAGTGAAAATATAATATCTAATCTAATAATTAAAATAGTATTCATTTAATAAAAATTTAGATAGACTTATTAATTTTTAAATAATAAAATTAGATCTATATTTTACTTAATAGAATTATGAAAGAAATCGTTCAGGGAGCAATCAAAAAAATTTATTTTTAGTTCACTAGCCATTAAAAAAAAAATTTTTTGCTTCAGGGGGCTATTCAAATTTTCAGGGGGCTCAACCCTGCTAGCCCTTCCCTAGTGACGCCACTGGTCGTGGTTACAAGATAATATAA